AATCACGGCTCACAGAGTTGTGCAGGAGAAAGTTCCCGTCAAGCTCATCCCAGTGAGTCCTACGCCGTCATCGTAGGCCCAGATTAATGGATGTTAACTTTGCAGTATAACTTTATAGTACATCATAAGACTTAAGTATTGTGAAGGATGCCTGAAATGGTCAGAAATATTTTCAAAGAATGGAAGGGGCCGTCTTCTGAGCATCGATCACAGGAGTTTGTGATTTATTATGTCGGACAATAAACTTGAGCTGTTGCATATGATAATTTCCTTGTGCAGTGTCTGGAAATAAATAAATAAAAAACATGAAACAAAAAAGGGACAAACAAGGACAAACCGATGGGGAGAACATTTTTAAAGGAGGGGTTACAAATTTTGGCACGGCACCCGCTCTAAACAGCTTATTAGCATGCCAGCTGAGACTTCACACTATGAACAAATAATGAAAGAAAAACAAGATGGACTACCTACTGTGTGCTGTCGACGCCGGCTACAAACAATCAATCTGCCATCAGCAGTGAGAAAACTCACACAATCTTTTACCTACACTGACTCAGCCGCTGCATTCAGCAGCTGGCTTTGCAGATAATAAAGCGTAATAACACTTTTGCCACCACTGTCAAAATAAGAGGTAATGATGGCTGGCGTAAAATGCAAAGTTAAAAAGGTACATTATGTTTGCGCTGCAACGATACGATAAATCCCAAAGCCTTCCAAATGACCTTGCACAAGCAGAACAATAATATGGCTCATGGTGATGATTTGTGATCCTCTTAGTAGAGTTTTTATGAGGGACTGTGAGCACAGTGTACATCCGTCTTTCACAAAATTGTTGACTGCCACTTGAATAATTGCATTTTTCGCCCCGCTTTGATTTCTGACTGACTTTAAGACGGTCTCCCACCGAGCGTCATGCATCGGCTGCTGAAATTATCAAAGCAGATTAACGGCGAGAAAAGAAAAGGGAAGAGAGAAGAGGAGCGGCGAGAGAAAGAACGAAAGATAGAGAGGAGGAAAAAAAAAATCAAAATCAAAATCACACCGCAGAGAAAATGTCTGCTCCTCAAGCTTTCATTTATCAAGTCCAAATATATTGGATGATGGTTATTTTTAAACAGACCCTAATCCTCAGCTCACCCTTCATAGTGAGGTAGATAATTATAGTAATCTGGTCGAGGGGAATTAAATTTCCGAGCTGTAAATCGTTGCAGTGGGATGGGACTAGTTGCTTTATGAAAGGGATTTATAGATTCCTGCAGTTTTCACTGTTTGACACATGTGGCATGTAACATTGCTGCACGGTTACTTAATTAGCAGTATCGGCACCAGGTTCTCTCGTGGAATGACTCGGCACATGGCGGAGATATACCTGAAGGAGAATTGCTGCAGAAGTACCCATTGTTCCTCATGTTCTATCTTGAGGGCTAGATGAATAACTTCCCTTCAAAGTAGGACAACATAATGGTGCTCCCCTAATGTTCACTTCAAATAAAATCCTACCCTCCACCTCTAGAAGCTGTGCGTCTTCTGTTGGGAATTTCTTTTGAAGATATAAGAGATTTGAAATGGCCCTCCCATTGTTGCCATACAGGGAAAGAGCCTGTAATGTGCTCGCCGTTCTTGTCCTGCCCTTGAGCAAATCAGTGATTCCCCACTGACTCGCTGGCAGCTCCAGGGGCGCTCTAAGTGAAGATGACCCCAAACTCTGACCTCCCTGGAGGGAGCGAAGTGAAAAGAGAGTTCCACTGCGGGGATCAATAGAAGTATCACGTCCTTATCGCTTCAGACGAGTCAGTTAGGCTTTGGGAAATAAGAGCTTGAATTTAATCTCTCGGCCAAGATATGCAGGGACACGCTGCACGTATGCATGTGTGGTTATAATGTGAACATGCATGTGTGTGTTTGTCCCAAAGCAAAATTATCATCTATAATTATCAGCTTGATATAAGTTGCAGAACATTAAATAATATATCCTCCTTATGCTCCATGACAGAAACTAACGACGTTAATCTTTCTGGGTACATTTTAATTTTTCAGTGGAGTATTTAATGCTTTTTGTTGATGTGTGCATAAAGGTAATTAGGCGTAAATGGCTTACTGATAGTCTCACAGGTGCACACTGTATGCTCAGTATGGAAGCACAAAGAGAGGATTGGATGCAGTTTGCTTTTTTGGAATATAAACGGTGACGCCCGTTAACTACAACGAACCCGTTTCATCTCTGTAGATGTTTTCTTAAGACCCCGGACATGATTCTGAGAGCTGGAGCTCGGCCTCTGAGTGGATACAGATCTGAGCTCGACCGGATGAGTGAGACCAAGTCATCCATCACTGTTGCATCAGAACATTAACATTCACTTTTACATTCTTTGAAAGAAGCTCTGCTCAGCGTTACATATTCATGCTCACAGTCAGGAGCACTGTGTCAGGAGGAGCAGCTAATTTCATTTGCACAGTTTACCGGAACATTTGGCAAAGTTAACTCAAAACTCTGTGAAGGAAACAGACAAAACAAAACTGACAATTTCACTTAAGAAAAACAGGCAAATATGATTTTAAATCCTCATTTGTATTTTCCTCATTCTGAATTTTAGATTGACAGAACAGCAGGCATGATAGTCTGTTAGTGAAAAACGTTGGAATCATGCCCAAAGATTTAAACCTGGATCTCTGTGGTTTTGCCTCTTTTGTTTTTATGTATTCATTCCATGTGTTTGAGGCTAAACGGCTGCTTTTATTATTAACATTTTAGTTTTATTGACCCACAAATAAGACTTTAAAATTTTACCCTCTTCTGCAGGAACAACTGCTACAACACATTTCTACAATTAAATCCAAAAACATCTCTTTACAAATCTTTAAAGTACGTTAATAAGACACCAATCCAAAGCTGATTTCAAAGACTTTCAAAAATGAACCATAACCTGGCGTCTTATACACAACAGCTGTTAACCTAAATATTATTTAGGTTAACATATGTTATCAGTGTTGCAGAAACCACAATTATATCGAGGTTTTGTGAGACTGTGTCGACACAACCTACGTACCAAGTGTGCGTCAGTATGCGGATGTGCGTCTACGGCGTTTTTACTGACGTGATGAATGACTCCTCACAGTCCAGAGAATTGATTTCCAGTGAGAAACTGGTGGGCAGTAATCTTAAAAGAACAAAAGACTTGCACTGCGTATGGTCCCATCTGTTGTCAGTGTTCTGTCACCCCAACATTCACACAGAAGCTCCAGAGGGAAATGCGTCCAACTTCTCTTATTCAGTCAATTTACAAACTAGAATGGCCGGAATTCTTTGGCAAATAGCTGCGACTGAACAGAGGACACTCCAGTGAACTAATCCCTTCGAGCACTCTGCATTTAGCAAGAAGCGGCAACCTGCCAACACCGGCCATTGAAGCTGCATTCCTATTGAGACATTTTTAATACAACGCTGTTGTCTTTCTCAATACTGACAATGAATAACAGTATTTTGTCCTTTCGGAGGTATAAACGTAGAATCCCACAACAGCGGTGATGCACCACAGTGAGGTAGAGATCTCAATTGTTCCTGCAAAATTGCAAACAACCTGGCCCACTTTCTACAGCGTCCCAACCTGAAAGAAATCACATTCATTATGTCTGTCAACACATTTGGAAGGAGCCACGTTCCACTGATGACGAGCGTAAAACAAGGGCACCACTGGAATGTGGAACCTTTATAATTGAATATTTAAATAATTGATCTTTCCAACAAAGTGAGTGTCCTGAGTTCATGATAGATTATTTTGCTGGTCCTCAGCTGCATGGACCTACTTCACCAGTGAGGCAAATCCTCGGCTGAGGCGGTGATCTGTTTAACTACCATGAGGAGGCAGCTTACAGGGTCTGTGCAGCTCATTATTCTGCCGCTGCTGCCGGCTGTGTGTACTCACCGACCTAAACCCGGGCTGTCACCTGCTTTTAAGCGCTGCATTGTGTAGGAAGCGTGTTTCCAGCTTTCTAACCACGAAAACCCAAAATGTTTTGCAGGGGGAGCATTAGTCCATATCTGTATAACCAATTACCGAGGACGGTGGCCACCATCTGAGTCACGCTAACATACTTCCCTGTGCCATGTTTTCATTTAGTCCAGTCAGCCCTGATCCTGCCGCCGTGTCCTTCCAACTACAGTTGGTTGATCCTGCACGCCTCTTTTTAGGAACGCAGTCATGGAAGCAGATTGGTGGGCGACACAAGTGACACGAATACTAAGAGCGCCCTCGCATTCAGCCAGTCTGCCACCCAGGGCATCTTTTCTTAATCCCTTTTGCAGAGACCAGACACAGCCTTGGCACGGTGCATTTGAACACCGACGTCCCTGCAGATTATTTAGCCCATGCAATTATCATAATGGAGGTAGCATAAGGCAATACGTGAACAGGAATCGAATATTCACTTGAAAGGCGTCTCTTCACCGACTCGCTCTGCCAAACAAACCTTCCTGTGCTCACCTGAAATTAAGATATTAAAATAACACATGCAACTCCGAGCTCTAAAATGTGACGCTCCTTAACAGAGGAGGAATTTCAAGTGCAAATCCCTGAAAAACAGCTGCACTCAGTGAATCCTGTTTAACATTAGCTGTACTCACTCACACAGGTTTAATATAATCCCTACTTCCAGAATTTACAGATGTGTAGTATTAAAAAATGCATGCCTGGCATTTTATACACTTTCTACGTATTGGATCATTTTAAACCAGACTGGGAGTAAATTGAGAGTACTTTAAAAATCTTGCTTTTCTTACTCCTCTACAGAGATTAACACCATGTTGCAGCAATTACAGAGCAATTTGATAAAATAAAAAAATCATAAGACTTTCATTAACCTAGACTACAATCAGTCGGAGGGGCAAAGAGGCTGGATGGGTGAAAATAACAATAAAGCATATTGCACCTTGTTCTCTGAATAATTCTCGGTCTGACCGTAATTCCAGATGGCAGTTTGATTGCTCTCAAATTTGCCTTTATTTTAATTTAATCACTGACTGGAGAAAATGAGCCTGATCGTCAACAATCACGATGATTTCCGATGATACGATGATGCCATCTGGGAGCGCTCGTTCCCCTCGAGGGGACGGCAGATGTAGTCTCAGGTCAGAGTGTCAGCTGCACCACCCTCTCACCTTAAATTGATGGAGAGACCAAGATTATTGTCTGTTCTCCTCATTGAACCAGAGTGAACAGGAATCTTTTCACGCAGACCAACGTCAACAATGCTAGTAATACATTACGAGGAGTCTGCAGTTAGCTGGATAATCTCTAGACTCCTGTGAACCTGAGAAGTCAGTGTGGGAAATTGACTGCTTTTCTATTTATACGTTATTTTTGATCCCTGCGTTTGCTGCGTGGTATTTCCAAGAATAAACCTGGATATATTTCTTATATATAACATATAAATGGAACATCTCTATTTGGATTTTCCTTGAGAACCACTAATCCGATTGAACTTGGGTGGGTGTATCACTAACGACCCAACGAAGTGAAGTTTTGACTGTTGGGTGTTTTTGGTATAGTTGAGAAAAATTACAGCGGAAAGAGATTCCTTCATTTGAAGCTGTAAACGTTTTGAACATTGATGACGTCATGAGAGTTGAGGCTCGTCAAGCTGCCCGTCCAGCTTTGAAACATGGTTACCATGGTAACAGCAAGTGCAGTTTGAAAAATGTGGAGGAATTTCTGTCGATTTTTTTTTTTTGCAGTCGACGCGGCTACTTCCTTTAGGTCTTCCGCAGGGTGCAATGGAAAATTCCAAGACTTTGCTGTATTGTGCATGAACGACAGGTGGAAGCTGTAACTCTTCTGCGTCAGAATTCTGCCATCGTGCAATCAGCATTAAGGTTTTGTGACCGTTTACTCGTGTGCATGTGCAATTTTATAATGGGCCTCAAATTTGGACAGAGAGATGATCTCAGGGAGTTTCAGGATTATCGCTGGTGGTGAGAGTCTCTGTGGAAGAGCCCAAAATCCCCAAGACCCAAGAAGGTCTGGAGTACGTCGAAAATCATGCTAATCCTTTTGAGTCGAATTCTCTGAGGGGTGTGCAGCTCTGTAACGTTGGGGTTTGTTGCTTAAAGTAAAAGTCGTTTGACCACAACACAAGGTCCACCTGCCAAAACCTGCCACGCCTTACTCATCTCCAAAATGAAATTCAATAACAACATCATCTAACTAAATTCCATAACGTTTTAAGCCTCTATTAGATTATTGTTTAGATTTTAAGGATTCAATATTTTTTTATTGGTTTAATCAATTTATGAGTTTATTGTTTTCATGCCCTCTATCGTCCAATAGTCAATTAATGGAGCTTTAAAATTAATGGAACCAACTCAGACAAAACAAGTTATTCTCCTGAACACTTCAAAATGATTGATAACTGCTTTAAATGTAGGAAATGTAATTTAAACACATCGTGGCTATTGTCATCAAATGTGAGCACCGGTGTGAACACTTTACTTGAGCTCTACTAAATGTGGCGTGTCCCTACTGTCATTATAGCATCATGTTGTCGCTGAGACAAGAACATTATCCCAAAAACAGATGAGAAAATTAACTTAAGCTTCAGCCAAGAAGAATGACCTTGCTTACACATTTCTTTTTTTTTTTTTTCCTATTTGTGTCTTTGGCCATATCAGTGACTCTAAAATCCTCTTTCAACAAGATGTTATCGAACGTTTCATTGATTGCATCTCCTGCACAATCAGGAAGTCGTTACTCTGACGACATCCAATGAAAATGAGTAATTTTGCTCGGATGATCATGTTTGTGAGCACCGCACTAAGTGATATTCCACACAGGGTGTTGCTAAGGAAACATCCACAACACCAGAAGGTGGTTTGCATCGTTTCTTTTCTTTTCAGGGGCCAGCTGTGATTCAGGAAGTCGAGCTGGTCGTCCATTAATCAAAAGGTTCAGTCTACGGCTTTGCAGAAAGATCAATTTGAACCCTAATGCATCTTAACATGTAACTGTGATAGAAAAGCTCCTTGTGAATGTGCATGAATGGGTGAATATGGCTTAAGTAAGTCGATAAGAAAAGTGCTAATACAAATGTAGTGCTTTTCCCATTCACCATTTCAGGATCTAGATTTACCACAACAGTAAAAAAAAAACAAATTTCTTTCAATGCATCACTTTTACAACCGCCCAAACCAAACACGTCATAAAGGCAAAAATGCAAATGTGAAAAAAATATATCAGGCGCAAAAGAAAATACAAAGACAATATACTAAAGTTATCTTGCATTTGAGAACTAAATCCTAAAAAACAGGACCAGAACTTCTCCTGGACAGTTATAGACACAGTTTAAAACTGGCAGCAGCAACAAGCCAGTGCCAATTCAAAAAAAAAAATCAAATGCTTGTTGGATAAAACCAACCCAGGAGAATGGAAAAATATTCAGGGAAATAAACATCGTTTCTGCTGAACTCTTGCGGTCAGCCAAAGAGCCACCGTGTCAGTTTCTGAAAAGGGTTTGGTTGTTTAGTCAGCAGCACCCAACTGCCTCCGAGATTTATTTACCCAACACCAGCACTGGTGGGGGAGGGGAGCTGCCTTTTATCTTTGAAGGTGGAGCAAAGGTGAGGTGATCCAGGCAGCAGCAGTCACCCGCTGGTGATGAGAACCCCAGAGCAACGTTTTAAATATCCCACAGACTCACGTATGCAAACATGCAAACGTGCACACGCAGTAAAGATGTATTTATTATCTTAGTATTCGAACACGGAGTGTACACAAATGGTCATGAAATCAATTCATTTCTGTGTAAAAGCAATTAAAATGAGTAGAATCACTGTAATCATCCCTGAAGTATTTTCAAAACCGTAAAAATAAAGTATAAATGTGTCATGGACAGAACACGCTTGCTTCATCCAACAATATTGAAATATTTTGCAATGACAGTTGTTCACTCAAATGCCAGATTATACAGTTTGTATTTCAGTTTAATCTGCTTTAGTTTCATTAGAGAGCTGCATTCATTTGTACTTTTTAATTATGAATTACTCCTTTTACCATTTTCCTTATAAATAAATCTTGCTCTGATGCAGAGTGGTGAAAAATACCCAGAACAGTTTCCCGGATCTTTAATCACACAACTGTGAAAACCCAAAGAAATTCACGTGTGTTTAGCAATTTTAGAAATAATGAAAAGTGTAGATCAATAGGCAGAATAACAGCTGATTAATTGTTTGGACATTTCACAGGAAATTGAATTGGCTTACAATTTCACTTTTTGTTTCTTTCCAGGTGATTTTACAGAATGAGGCTGGTAATAGGAAATACATGTTTGTTTAACAATAAAAGACCAAACCACTGATGCATCCAGTAGAAGAAGACGATTGATTTGTTGTCATGGAGATTTACATCTTCAATAGGAATAAATAGCTTTTGCAGAACTGAGAGATCCAGTACTACACATAGTTTTCACTCTTTCCCTGGTTTTTTCATTGAAAATAAGAAAAACTCGTCGTTCAACACGTTTTCTTAGAACATATGCTCGCTAGTAATTTATTACTACTTGAGATTTGTGTCGTCACTTCAAACCCCGACACAACAAAGCTGCCACCCATCTGTATCTCCTTTCCGCCGTGTGCACAGGTCTTGTAAGTCGCAGATGGTCTGTGAGGTTACGGCATCAAACAAGATTAAAACAAGACATGCAGCAAAAAAAGCATGCGAATGCTGTGAATCAGTGATGTGTTGAATGAATTAGCGAGATGACATTTAGTTCATCAGACAGCCGTCTCAGTGGCCACGGGCTTCTGTCTCTGTCATGATGTGAGACTGCCAGATTTCATATCACTTCATCTTTTACCCACTCTATCAATTTCACACTCGCTGGATCGACTGCGAAAGGCAGAGATTGGTAATCGTCTAGTAAAAAAAATGACAGCGTTAGTTTAAAGGGCTTTTTTAAAAACCTAATTATTAAAATTAATTATTTGACGCATCATTTTTAAGTTATTCCCCGTGGCTTTGGTCATTAGAAAATAAACCTCAGTTTTTGGGGGGGATGTAAAAGGTGAAAATGGGATTCATGAGGATGTATTGCACAGTAGAGTGTTAATAGTATAAACTGTGATAATATCAGGCTTCAAACCGTCTGCCACACATGAGATTTGCACATTGACTGTTGAGCATGTGACTTTTTATTTTGTCTGATAGTGAAAGTGCAAATTGAGATGTTTGTTTCTTGTCACTCCGTTGGAATAATCCTTTTTATACATGAGACAAATTCCCCTTAGAGCCGTGAGGGGAGATGCTAAATATGCCAACAAGCCAAGACAAATATCAAAATCAAAATGTGACTGCAAAACAAGTTGTTCAATAATGCAACAATTCTTGCTAAATATCACATTCATGGATTAGTTGTATTCTCAATTTGCGTGGAGCAGTTTTAACACATTTCTTCTCGTATTCTTACCATCGCAAAATGAAACAGAATCTTTTCTGCTGGAAATGAGGTGTTACCTCTGCTGATTGCGAGACAGTCGGTTATTTAGGCAGTTATTCCGTTGTAATCTGCCAAGTTTGGTTCCCTGGCATGTGGGAATGTCCAAGCTAGTTGTCCAAGGTGTCGTTTCTTGTGGTGCACAACACCGACACTCTAATTATCTGACATTGTAATTTAAGTGCTCTGATGTTCAGGAAATACTCTCTGCTAAATATATTACAGGCCCCTCGCTATGTGCAACCAGATTTAGACACATGTTACCACAGCACCTTTCCAACAAACTCATTATAACAAATGAATTTGGCAAATCACGGTGGTGTCAGACATAATTCCAATGGCTGCCGGTGCAGAAGCAGAAAAGTAATTGTGGGTGTGTTTTTATGTTGCTGGCAGGATTTTAGGTGTAAGCAGCTCCTGCTTACAGTGACTCTGAATGCATGTTGAGCCTGGATGAAAATAATCCATGCAGTGTTGCACCGACAAAAGGAAGGAGGATGTTTGAAGTGATTTTTTCCCCTTGTGAAATATATGTGCCATCTCTTTATGTAATGATGCATTACCTGCTGGTATTCAGATAAAATGTTTTTTTATGAAGAAGTAGAGTTGTAGAGCAACACACTCATACCTTAATTTACAGCTGATAATCTCTATCAGCGAGCCTGTTCAAGTTCCATCTCTTCGTGGCAACGCGGGGTTGTTGTAATTCCAGCCAGACGAAATGAGCTCCTGCCAGTGGGAGGCCTCACTCGATCAGAATCCTTCAGCAGTGGCTCCGCTCTCCGTTCAGCCTCTCTACGCCGAGGCCGGCGTCGGCTGCAAAACCAAGTCACATGCAGATTAATTTCTCCTGATTAAAACAGCCATTCATCTTCACTGGAGAACATCTCCACCCTTAAACAAAAAAAATCTGTCATTACACAATCATTTCTTGTTGCTCGTGGTTTGACGGGAAAGGATGATTAACAGAAGCTTGAGTTGGAAGAGCTGAAAAGAGAATGTCTAAGGAGCCAGTAGGGAAGGATAATGTTTCTTTCGCACTAGCAAGAAGGCAAGAGTGCCTCGCTACTGGCAAAGGCATAAACGGCACTGAAGAACTTAATTGTACAGCTTGACACAATGCTGTCACATTTCATAAAATCACCGCACATATGATCTGATGGTCATATAATATGTATTGATTTAAGTGTAGGTTACCATCTTTGCAAGTGGAAGATAATAGATGGTGATAGCAACACGTCAAGAGAAGTACAGGCTGTACTGTATGTGCATAATGTCTCGGGAAATTTTATCTCGAGCACACTCAGGCATATTCATAGACACTTTGGCTGAATGGACTAAACTAATCTGATTTAATCTAATCTAAGATAACAGAGTAATGAGTTTCTTGTTAGTCACTTTATTTGATGGATAATAAATTCTGCTACAGCTAAGCAAGGACAATATCTGGACCTCTTCAGTCTATTTGTCAGGGATTTTGCGATTATAAATTGGATCGTAATGAAAAGTAAACAGGGCTGCAAAACTGCTTTAAATAAAAAAATTTACAAAAAAAGCATTAATCATGAATCAGTGGATGAAGAGAAACCCAGGAAATGAATCACAGATAAAAGACTTTTAAAGGCCATAAAGAAGGTAGAAGTTTATTTTAATGAAAAGTCAAAATCGTGAAAAGTAACCCTGATTGATTTTTCCTCTGTATTTGGAGTTGGGTTTCCTCTTTGATTACCATTGTATGCTTTTCACAGTGTGCATTGTTTTGAGTATTGACAGATGTTCTGTAAAAGTTCCTCACCGGCACTCAGACAGGATTATCTGGTTTTCCTGCAGAGCCATGTTCGCTGGGCGTAATGATGTGGTGTCAGTGACTTGTCTTGCCCTAAAACAACCTGGTCCCAGTGAACTCAAAAGATGCTACTATTTCTTCTAAAAATTTCATGACTAAGGCTTTGTGTATTAAATAATTCCAGGCTTAGGATTTCAATGAGTAAAGGGCTTACAAGAAATTCACGGTTCCTGCTCGAAGGGGAGACAGATGCTAAGTTCTCGTTTTTCATTTTCAGTCTCCAGTGTAGATGCATCAGCTTCTGTGAAGTCTGGAAATCTGGGGCAATCCAGGGTTAGGGAGCTAACAAAAAGCTTGTTATATCCCACAGATGGGCAATACTGACAATTAGTGAAGCTTTTAATTCATCTAGGTTCCTTTTTCATGCACATTGTACTGTATAAATAGCTCTGGGCAGCTCGTTGATTATTTTCATAGTCAATTATCTGTCGAGTGAACTCAAAGTTACATTCTCAATAGTTTGGTTCATCTGACCAACGCTCCCAAACGTCCATTTCACAATCATAAAACATAACAAAGCAGCAATTGTTCATATCTGAGATTCTGAAAAAAGCAAATGTTTTTGTTGCCAGTTAATTTTCTGCCGACTATTCAATTCGGAATTAAAAAGATCTTGTCAAGACTCAAATTTAACCATGACTCAGAAATACAGCATCAACATCTGGTCCAATGTGCTTATTAACTATTTTTCTTTTTTCTGTCTTCTTGTTGCAGAGAACACAAACAGCAGATGAACTATGAATGCTGAACACAATGATCTCCTCCCTCCAGCGCCAGACAATGAGAGGTCGTAGGCTGAAGGGGGCGCTGTCCAACCCCCTCTTTGTGCTGCTTTTAGCCCTTCAGATCCTGGTGGTGGCTGGGCTGGTTCGCGCTCAGACCTGTCCGTCTGTCTGCTCATGCAGTAACCAGTTCAGCAAAGTCATATGCACCCGCCGAGGTCTACGGGATGTCCCAGATGGCATTTCCACCAACACTCGCTACCTGAACCTCCAGGACAACCTCATCCAGGTCATCAAGGTGGACAGTTTTAAACATCTGCGCCATCTGGAGATCCTGCAGCTGAGCAAGAACCACATTCGCAGCATTGAAATTGGTGCCTTCAATGGGTTAGCCAGTCTCAACACTTTGGAGCTCTTTGATAATCGGCTCACGACAATCCCCAATGGAGCATTCGAGTACTTGTCCAAGCTGAAGGAGTTGTGGCTCCGGAACAACCCCATTGAAAGTATACCATCATATGCCTTCAATCGAGTCCCCTCACTTCGAAGGCTAGATCTGGGTGAGCTCAAACGTCTCTCCTACATTTCTGACGGAGCTTTCAAGGACTTAAGCAACCTGCGCTACCTGAACCTGGGAATGTGCAACCTCAAAGAGATTCCCAACATTTTACCGTTGATCAGGCTTGAAGAACTTGAAATGTCAGGAAACCAGCTCTCTGTTGTCAAGCCCAGCTCATTTACCGGATTAGTGAACCTCCAGAAGCTGTGGATGATGCATGCCCAAATCCAAACTATCGAGAGGAATTCATTTGATGACCTGCAGTCAATGGTGGAGCTCAACCTGGCTCACAACAACCTCACCTTTCTACCACATGACCTCTTCACGCCACTGCATCGCCTGGAGCGGGTCCACCTCCATCACAACCCTTGGAACTGCAACTGTGATATCTTGTGGCTCAGCTGGTGGCTGAAGGAAACTGTACCTGCCAACACCAGCTGCTGTGCACGTTGCCATTCTCCGTCAGCTTTTAAAGGTCGCTACATTGGGGAACTGGACCACAGCTACTTCCAGTGTGATGTTCCTGTCATTGTGGAGCCACCCAGTGACTTGAATGTGACAGAGGGCATGGCTGCAGAGCTTAAATGTCGTACGAGCTCGTTGACATCCATCAGCTGGCTTACACCAAATGGCTCATTGGTGACACATGGGGCTTACAAGGTGCGTTTGTCTGTACTCAATGACGGGACACTGAACTTTACTAGCGTCACAATGCAGGACACTGGGACATACACCTGTATGGTTAGTAACACAGCAGGCAACATTTCCGCCTCTGCTGTCCTTAATGTTACGTCCGTGGAAAACAGTGGTGTGACCTATTTCACCACAGTCACCGTGGAGACCATTGAGACTCCAGGGGACGATAGCCAAACGCCGTTCGGCTGGGTGTCGTCCTCAACAACTAAAGGTACTCCTGTGTCAACGAGGACCACAGAGCGGACTTACACCATTCCAGTTCTTGATCCGGATGGAGAGGGAGCCCTCAACGGCCTGGACGAAGTGATGAAAACCACCAAGATTATCATTGGCTGCTTCGTGGCCATCACGCTCATGGCCGCCGTTCTGCTGGTTATTTTCTACAAGATGAGGAAACAGCATAACCAGCAGGATCCCGATGGCCCTGCCTCCTCTATGGAGGTCATTACTGTTGAAGAAGAGCTTGCAGGTGTTGCTGCCATGGAGAGACACCTATCGTTGCCCCCTCTGGAGCACTACAACCACTACAACACCTACAAGAGCACTTACCACCACCCGTCCATGCTCAGCACCATACACAGCTCTGCCACACAGGAACCTTTACTGATTCAAGCCTGCTCAAAAGACAATGTACAAGAGACCCAGATCTGATCTTGTATTTGACTAAATATCCACTATCAGCAGTTTCATACAAGTACAATGGACAAAAACACGAAGACAAAAGAAAATCAAAAATGGCATTGACTTGACAGAGTTGATGTCGATAATAGCGATAAATCAGCATTTGGCAAAGGGACATCACATGATACTTTAACAAGTGTCTTTACAAAAACAAAGATTATTTATTAAAAATATGTCTAGTGACTAAATGAAGAAAAACAATTTGTGATAGCTTTTTAGCACATTTTATTTCTCTCTCTCTCTCTCTCTCTCTGTGTGTGTGTAATACTGCACAAGGGAAAGAATGGTTCACTAAAGGCGAATATGGAATTCATTGTCTACATCTGAAACCTATTGCAGAAATTGGCCTTATTCTACAATTATTACAGTGCTATTAATAGAATAGTTTGATTTGAGTAACAACTATTTTGTAGAAATGCATTGCTTTAGTCGGGAGAAGCATTTAGTTTCCAGTTGTTGGACAAATCTTGTCCAGTTTAGCAGAGGTTTATGAGACAAAACATAAAATGGGTTTATTTTGGCGCCATTATATTGTAGCTGTCATTCAACACAAAATGGGATCTGTTAATGACAGGGCTCCGGATGATATCACAGTGAAGCCAGCATGCCTGAGGAGCAACGCAGCCAAAATGAGTAAATGTGCATTTCCCCTGTGGCTCCTAAACAACAGACATAGATCCTTCACTTTAATTAAGATTAAGTTCTTGCTCCCACCCCTCCTCCTACATTTTCTTTATGCTTCTACATTTACTCTGTCTTTCTTTCTACTCCTCTATTCCATCTCTGAATTCTCCATCTTCCCCGTCTACCCTTGTTCTGCTTCCCCCTCTCTGTCTCTCTCCTCCATGTCCCCATTCTTCTTTGATTGTCTCTCTGTCACTTTGCTCAGGCAGGTTCCTCACCCCTTCGCCATGTCTCATTTGTCTCGCTTTATCCGTCGGCGTGTGCCGCACGACGGCAGAATATTGCTTGGGAAAATGAAGGGGAGCATAAGGCTGCAGTCTGCAGCCTCCCTGTTAACCCAGCAATGATCTACGTCCACTCAGCGTCGTGTTACCTTGCCATCACCCCAGGGTCACACAAGCTTGGGCGCTGATAGTCCATCTGTTAGTACAGATAAAGAGGCAAATGAGGCTGCTTTGTAATGTAGTGTGACCCTGTCAGTCTAGCACAGAGAGGGCTAACATCGTCAGTGAAGCAGCTAGGAACCTGCAAAAAATAAGGGGATATGGGTTATAGCTCATTAATCTGTATCAGCAGTTCATTTGCGGACTAACAGAGGAAAGCTGATAACAAAACAGCATGAGACTTTTCACTCTCCCTGTGCCTCACATCTAACGGGGGGGCGGAGGCCTTTGATATTGAAGCGACCCCTGTTCGGTCTCATTTTTTTGTCAGAGAAAAACACACAAACTTTGATGTTGCATCATTTATGGACCATCAAAACAGTGTCTCTCCTGTAGTCTGTTGACGCTCTGCTTTTTCATTTAGTCTTTCAAAGAGGGAGGCTTACGGAAGGGGGAGGTAGGGATGAAAAGTGAAGAGCAGTGGGTGGGGTGGGGGTGGCGAAGGGGTGTGGATCCACAACGGTCATGAGGGGTCTTCAAACGGAGATATTGCCGATATGAAGAGGGAGAGGAGTGAAAAAATAGATAAGGAATAAGGAGGCAAAACTAGCCATCAGACGGTTGCCAAGGAAACAGTGACCTTGTGCAGAAAATAAAAAGAGGTAGATCTGGCTTTCTCTTTGGTCGATGCAACGAGCACAAAGCGTATATATTTTGAGCCAATTTCCTAAAAGCGATTCTGCAAATGCCAAATCAAGAAAATTGCTATAATGAAACGTGTGTTCACAGATGGTTCTGATGGGATCTGACCTGCACACGTCTTAAATAGAATAAAAAAACCGAAATAAATCACTGCGCGATGTGAAAAACTGAACAATTTAACCATCCAGCAGTTCCACTCGCCTTATTGATTTTCATCCCTGTGAAGACGGCGACCGTAGCATGAGCGTAATAAAGCACTGTCACAGAATCACGTGCCTCTGATCCGTCATTCTCCAGAATCCGTTTTTACATTTTCTACAATAACGGCAAACAAAAGGTGGCGGGGGGGGGGGTAAATGTAAAAATTTACATCTAAAGACTGGTGACATCTGTTGAGGTGGAGACGGATGAAACTGCAAATGGAGCAGGAAGAGCAGACAAACCAACACATTCATCATCGGCGTCTCGTCAGCCATGAATGACAAGAGTAGGACAGTCAATGAGTGACCCATTCTTTCCCTTTCCACTGTTTTCTTTTTCGATGCTCAATTCCTTTTCAATGCTTTTGGTGGCTTAATGATTAAATGTCGACGCTGGCTACAGTGAAAAAAAAAAAAAGGTTGAGATTTTTTTTTTTTATATATATATATATACATATATATATTTGGGGATGAGGATTGTGAGTTATTCGGAATGAATGGAATATCTCTGTTTTGGTATTTACTTGAGCGGGATGGCTTGATGTGAAGAGGTATTTGAATGCCAGAATGAAATTAAGACTGACAGAATGTTGGGACTTGAAAATACCAGCGGAGTGAGCTTGATTTATGTGCAAAACCCGAAGCCAAGGTGATCAAATTCTTGTGTGTTATTCTGCCAACTGTCTACGTATGGGGAGGGTTACTGTACGAGGGGATATTCTCTCTCATTTTTGGAGACATAATTTTACATGTGCTTCAATTGTTAAAAAAAAGACGAAAAAGCAAAACAAAAAATGAGAAAAAAAAAACAAACAAGAGACTTGTGCTTGTAAGGAGTCCAACTAATTTCTCTGAGGATGATGTTCAATTATTGATACCTGAGATTGTAGTTCATACTGTACATGAATACAAATAAAAATTGCAATTCTTTTTTTTTTTCCAATAGATTTCATTGAATGCATTATTCACCGGCGATGTCGCCGTTTTTTCCATCTCTGCCCCATTTGCACATGAAAACATTTATAGAGATACTCAAACAAAAAGGATTACTTAGCAGCTCCCAGAATGCTGAAGTGAGAAGAATGTGCTGCGAGGAAACGTACTGTGGCGTATTTTATGAGGTCAGAGGAGGGAAGTGGATCTCGGAGAGGAAAAGGAAGAGTGATCTTTCTGTATTATCCATGGGAAGTCGGATTCCTTTATCTAATTTGAATCACTCCATCTGTCTGACAGGATAATTTGCTGCATGCAGGCAAATCTGAGAATTTCATAACCAACAGCACAATGGGCTCACCCTGCGCTCTCTCCGCTGACTCAATATGATGAACAAAGGACCTCACAGACCCTTGGAGAACATTGTCACGGGCATAAAAACACAAGTCTAATAGCACTACCCTCACTGCCACTTCCAAATGTATTCAATCTCAAATCTATTAAACTGAATCTCAGCAGGAGATGACCATGATTTTATATCTAAAAAAAAAAAAAAATAAAAACCAGTGAAGTGGCCGCTTTTTCATGATGACATCCCCACTACGCCAAATAGCACAGAATGACATTGCCTTTGGGATTTGCTCTATTTCATTCACAAAGTACTCGATGGCGACGCTGGCCTCGTTTAGAAAATACACTCGTTTGTCCACAGACGGTTTATAAAAATGGACGTGGATCCTCCAGAACACCAAGCAACTCCTGGGGTGGCAAGTCAGTTTCCATAGGTTTCAATGAGAAAATGACTTCACACTTGATCCATCACATCAGTAAACATTATCCTTTAGAGTTTATTCTCTCAATCTCTTATTTTAGGTCTCCTTCAGAATACAGAAGGATGTTAATGTTGTAAGTCCCGGTCCCATGTAGACTCTAATAGAACCTAAAGCACCATATGCACTGGGGCCTTGGATACCGTGTGATCGACAGCGAGTACCGTCCAATGTGTCAATTAGCTCCAACCCCCCACTCCTCCAAATATGGTTACTTCTGGTTTCCAAAAAAAAACAAGATGGTGCCGTTCCAACATGGAGATCATTCATTCATTACCTAACTGATCGATTCATCCAGGAGGTGACACATCCTCAATGAAATGATGCCAATGAGTCCAACTCAGAAACCGAACAGTGTTCACATTCATTTCATCGGTGCACATGAAGCTGCATGTGGGAGAGTGACAAGCAATGAATCAGATGTTGGTTCATTTTTTTCCGTGGGAGCAGTGTGGGTTTGTGTCTTTGTTTTTCAGAGCACTTGACGTCAACTGACAAGAATGAAAAAGAAAAAAAGAGGCTGCCGTTCTGTGTCAGTGACTCTGTGTGTGTGTGTGTGTGTGTGTGCACGGGTGTTGAGTCCTGATCATTTAAAACGTGAAATTCAGCTTCACCCATGCTGTTCATTCACAGAACTATACGAGAGAATTACTTTTTTTCCCCCAGACACATACACCATGAAACAACTGAAATCTGGCCATGTTCCCTTTAGGTTAGAGTCCAAGTGACAACAGGTCAAGATGTGAAGAAAACCACAGGAGATATTGTGTTCAAGAGGCCAACTACATGTTATATAAAGGCCGTTTGACCTCCCAAATCTCATCAGAGATTGAAAGGATTGTTGGGAGGGATTCTTAAGATGAGACGTTCACAAGGTAAAAAATGTTCTGTAGAGGTCACAGCATTCCTGACCTTTGACCTAAGACTACGAAAATCGAATCAGTTCATCCTTTTGTTTAACTCAACACGAAATGAGTTCTACATTTGTCGAAGGTCCCTCAAGGTGTTTTCACAAGAATGAGAAAGATGGATGGGAGTCCTGAAAACATAATACCTCTGGCCACCGGCCATCGCTCGCGTGGAGGCATAAAAACTGTCCGTTTTCTACGATGATCAACACGAGTATCTCACCTCTTACTACATTTGAAACTTGAACACTGATACCACTCGTATATTCTTACAATGTCATCTTTTTACTCTGTAATCTCGTCTTTTCTGAGAACTTCTCCACTTGAGAACAACTGTTCTGTTGAGCTGGCGATGTTAAACCTGCAGAGGCTTTAGGAAATAGCGACATTTATTCATCAATATTATTTAATTTGAGAAAAAAAATAAATCACTCAAATCCTTGTCGAACACAGCTGGATTTTCACAT